CACACACACACACACTGGCTTTCATGTGCATTGATTCAATAACACGGAAGAGGGAGAATACATTACTGCGTCTCCAAAGCTAACACCTTTGAGATTGAAGAGGCAAAAACAATAAAAAATGTATGCCGGAGAGTGAAAAGACCTGGACCTTCTAGTAAAAAGAGCTAAATGAAGTAAATATATAATGTGAAACAGTGTGAAGAAACTAAAATGGTGTCAGAGTCAAAGGTGAGAGTAACCTCATCCTCTTTTAAAATGCTTTTAACAAAGGCACATAGATAGATAGAGTGGTGATAGGCTATGTGTTCATTCATGCATGCATGCGCACATATATACAATATCTCTGTGGAGGTGAGAAAACAAAAGGCGACCTGACGCATTTAAAGATACTTTCAGGAGGAAGAGACACAGATCACCTGAGGCTCTTATCTCAACAACACCTCTGGGCTCTGGGTGTGAGAGCCTTAATGTGCCTAAATAAATGGCAGCCTCCATCTTTTCTGCTGGATCGCGCTTTAAGAGACAGACACCTTGGAAGAGAGGTGGGCAAGGGTATTCATATAACCTAAGTGGGTTTCTTTTATGGTCCAGGCTACCTTCATCTATATTGTGTAGCATAAAAAATCCTGTAACTTGCACTTAGATCATCTAAAACCGAGGCACTGGAAAAAGAACGATGATGGACATTAAACACGACTGAATGAGTTTCATTTCCTTTCACACGCAACAAGTTCTGGCTGTTTGAAGCAGATCTGGGTTAAATGGCATTTTAAATGCTTTGTTGTTGTTTTTCTTTACCCTGAATGTGGGATTTGATGTTTGTTTGCAATGTACGTCTCCAGTCTGGTACTTCCAAGAGAATAAAACAGACATTAAGTGTTAAGTGTTAATTAACTGTTTTTTGACATTATTTGATCCCAAGGTGAATAAAGTTCACTGACATTTTATTGTAAATCAATGTTTTCATGTATTAATTCAACACTTATATAGTAAAATATAGTCAATTTAAAGTCTCAGAAAAGTGATATTCAAAAAATCACTGACAAAAAAAAAGTATTGCAGGTGCAATTTACTCATCAAACTCATCTTCAGTACATCCTCATACAAAACAGCAATGACACTTTGACTACAGTGAAGTTTAAAAACTGTATTTCTTCCTGTAACTTGTCTCAGTTGTCCTGGTTGAAGATCAGTGCTGATGCTCTGATGCGAGAGTCTCTCTTCTCTCGGTTCTGTTTCAGCCTCCGGAGCACAGGGGCGCTGCCGCTCTCGCTTGCCCAGGGAACATCTCCTGCTGCTGGGACACACTGTGGACCTGGCTGGGGGTCTGACCAAGAGATGACCGCAACCTCAGGTTAGGCACAAATCCCCAAAAATGAAAACTAAATGATACCAGCTGAACAAAATTATATGATTAAGCACTTTGTTCTGATTATAAATACTGCAGATAGGAGTCCAAACCAATCAGCGTCCTTTGAGGAACTACTGGCAGCTACAGCATGAGCTACAGGCATGGTTAAACACCAGGTGTGAGTGTGATAATGTGTGGGAGAAGCGACTGTTTGCTCGAAAACAACAATGGCGGCTGCTACAGAGGTTAGTGTAGATGCTGCTAGCATTAGTTAAATCAGAACTGGAGAGTATTTCTGTATTGAAATAAGAACCAGAGGGGGCACTTAAGGATTTTCTCCATGGAAAAGATGTTTTCCCCGTCATAGATGACGATGATAGACAAATGGATGGTTCATCCAATCACCTGACAAGTATTTTTGCTTGCCCTTTTCCAGTTTCCCAGATAGTTTTGTGTAGCAAACCATCTGGCGCAACCAGGTTAGTCAAACTGTCCATTGTGGAGTATATATGTCCCTTTGAGAATCACTATCAAAGTGACAAAATATGCTGTCCAAAGACCACAAAACAGTATGTAGATTAAAGTTTCTACTTTTATCAAAGTCTAAAAAAATGTAAAATGTCTCATCATTTCTGACAGCTATAGTATTGAAAAACGTATCACCTTTACCTTTATTATTTTACCAGGAAGTCTCACTGCTTCTCATTGATCTCAAACGCACTCTAAAGGATATTATATAGGCCCTTAAGTTTCCTAAAGTACAGCTATCTGTAATATTGTGTTATGCATAATATAGTAAACAATGATTGCTATCCTAATGTGGGTTTATTCCCTTGAGACATAAGATTTACTAATTCAGTTTTGCTACAGCATATGGTCCAACACAGACCACTAATATGGACACAGGAGAGACAATAGCCTCAGACACAGACACAGTGTAGCATCATTCTGATCATACACGAGTGACAGGACAGCATACCCTGTGTTTGTGTTGAGGAGTTCTCTCCCATCGCTCTCCTCCTCCTCTGGAGAACCTGCAGGAGCTCTGCGTCCCCGACATGTCGGCCAAATCCCCTCCTGGACGGCACTCTGCGGTGAGGCTGACGTTTTATGTTGTCCTGGTGTGCGGAATGGTTAAAGATGCTTTAAAAACTGCCATTTATCACTTAAGGTTTTGGCTTCTTGACACCAAAGCAAGTTTAAGTACTTTACCAGCATCCCTTTCAACTCCAGGATGGCTGATTTTCTGTTTTCACTCCTCTGGTCCTGTGGGAACATTTCAGATTTAATCTGAAGATGGGGAATATTTGGGAATTGTATAATAAAGATGAGAAGTAACAAATAAATATGAGGATAGCTGACCTTCCATGAGCTGTCATCCTCCTGTGAGCAAAGGTAGATGTTAGTTATCAGAGTGTATTATTTATTACTTTAATAATAATCTGTGAATACAATTTGTGCACCTGTATTCTCTTGATGGGCCTCAAGATGATGCCTTTCTTTATTCTCTCCATCATTTCATCCACCGCTTTCGCCTTCATGTTCAACAGGGGTGCTGGTTCTTAAAGAGTAGAAACAATGGATCAATATATTTACTGTTTTAAAAAAAAAGAGTCAGGGATGAGCGAGGATCCAGGACAGATAATGTACTTTATA